CTGTATCAAAAAGTACAAAACAAACTCGAGTCTTATCGGAGATCTTACGTTACTTCACTCGCAACACTCGCAAATCAAAGTATATAAAAAGTTTTTTTTCTAATTCTCAGGCTCGATTCTTTATTTTCTTAACTTAACAATAGACTTAACTTTACTTAACTAGATAATAGAAAAATTGTGATTTTCTAGCTATAATTAATTACGAAATAAATAATTGATAATTATTCAAATTTTATCATTATTTTAATAATTTATTCTGTTGTTATTCAAAATATCTTTATGATGATTAATAACTATATTATAATAATTAATAATTTTACAATGGCAACTTTATAGTTACGATTTTTCATGTTAACTAAAAAATGATTTCAACATATGTATATAATTTAATTTTTCATGAACAAATGACACTACACGTTTATTAAATATGTAAATCATACATTTTAATCTACATTTTTGTAGTACAATGTGTTATTTTTACATGGAAAATTAATCACATACATGCAGGATTGGCAAGTAACTTGTAACGTTACCATTTTTTTTTATAACGAATAGATAACGATGTTACATTTTTTTCTGAGTAACGTTCATTGTAATTGCATTTTTGGGATAATAGTAACGATTTTACTAGTTACTTTATTTTTAGCTAGAAGTTTTAGTCGTAACTAGACCATATTATATACACATGCAATATATATACACCGATATATATTTATATATCAGTTTTTGAGCTTTGTTTCTCTACTAAAAGATAAAATTCTGAGACTTCTCTTCAGGATATTTACCGTACAAATCTATATATGATAACGTTTTTCATTGATAGAACTATAGTGTGCACTCAGTGCACTTTAAAGTCGTTGTTCACAAATCAACGTATGTTTAATAAAAATACAGAAACGAGTTAAACCGCGAAATTCTCAATACATTTTCTTATATTATTTGATAGAATATACTTTAGATATTTTATCAATTGAGATATCTCATTTTTACATTCGGATTACAGCAGAATACAACGGCTTTAATATACGATGCGTTCTGCCAATGAAAAACGCAATATTTTATTTGTATGTAGAAAAAAAGTAACGAAAAAATAACGACTCGTTACATTTTAACTGATGGTAACGGGTAACGAGTTACTTTTGCAAATCAATAACGATAACGAGTTACTTTTTAGGAAAAAAGAAACGGTATAACGATAACGAATTGTTTATGAGATAACATTACCAACTCTGCGATACATATATATTGAAGTCATTTTGCACACACTTTGGTTTGTAGCGAATAGGCATGGGAAAACGAAAGCTTTTACTTCCTGTTGTTTCCGGAGCAACGCGAGAGACAGCGAAAGGTGCCAATTTTACTGCTGCGAACGGATGCGGATAAATAAAAAAAATAATAAAGATAGATACATAGGGCAGTATTGTATCACGTGATAATAAAAACTAGAAAATATCGATATTTGAAAACTCGGGAGCGAATATCGGTATTATTTTAGGCCCTGAAGATCTTTTTTTGGCGGAGCGAATTTTGATACGTTACGGCGTAAAATGGTCGCCGATATATCGATTCGCAAAGGGTGGCTCGAAACCGGAAATGATCCGCGACGGTCGAAGAGTTTCACCATAGAACGAATTTCGAGACGAATTTTTTTTTTACGAGCACGGTATAGAAAATGCGAGGTGTTTTTCAGAGCGTTATACGAGCGCGTTCCCTTTCAATGTTACGATGCGACACGCGTATCCGTTATTATCGGATGATAGTAATTTACGAGAACGTAAAAGGATATTCAGCTATGAACTGCGGAGTATACATACCTATTAGCGCTTCAATGTTTTCCCTGAGAAACAAAGACCATTTCCGCTTTCGATCTACACGCGAGCTAGGCAACTCGTTATCGCGGCAAGCACTATATATACCGCGAACTTGTAATTGTCACAATCTAGCTTTGCTGTAACACGATAAAGGGCATCAATTCTGCGAGGGATTAATGCCCGTTTCCACCACTGTGGATTAACTTTAATCTCATGTCAGTTCAACTTACTCTTCATCTTCTTCTAATTCTTAAGACCGGTTTTTTTTATTTTCTTAACTTGTGGTTTAGACTTAATCTCACTTGATGATAGTATAAGAATTGTGTATTATGTGATCAATTTCTTATCGGCTTAAAGCTTAGATAATAGTTTATTGTAGAAAACCTATTAAAGTCATCCACTACAAAACCATTAGTTTAATGATTAATCATAGCTAGAAAAACAAAATTTTTGTCAAAGCTGAGATCGTTTATGACACGATGATCGTGCATATTACCTGAAGCGAAAGAGATGAGAAACTCTCAGAAAGTTAGTTTCAGGAGGACATACATCATATATAGTTCGAACGGAATTTATCAGACGCGCTTCTCCGAGCAGATTAATCGCGTCGCGATCGATTCCGATCTTCTGGGAAACTCGTTATAGGCGAATGTGACTGACATTCCCGTGTTTCGTGACTTCATTAAAGCTGGCGCTTACGTTTACGTAACTAGTCGTGACGCACTTTAGACGGTTCAAACCGTCGCTGTGTGCAAATTGCTGTCCACCGACGGTGCCTGACGCTGCGAATTATATTCCCTATTCGTCAAAACGTCAAACGTCGGAATATTTCAATAACTAGTTTGGCTTTGCACGGTTTACGCGTCGGGGATCAAAGGGAATATTTTTCCTTTTGCACTCATCGACTGAATTCCGTTTAATATTCGTAAAATCCTATGTAGTGCTACCAACCGGACTCCATTAACCTCGAGCGATTGTTGACGGTGACAGCGCAATTTTATACGCGAAAAATTGCCAATCTTGCTCCGATTAGCGATCTCTTCTGATTCCGCGTTGCACGCGTTGTATAAACGTGCTCCATTACAACAAATATAACGAGGTTAAATATTATTTTAACAATATTTTGATTGCACGTCCAAAGTGCATGGATTATATCAAGTGTGATATTTTAAAGCGTTTCGAAAAATTTTCGCTCTTGTTACCGTAACAGAGTATTCCTCTATTCTGATTTTAATAGCGGAAATATTAGCAATAATTGTAATGGAAAATTATTTTGAAAATTTGCACCAATTTAGGTGAGTGCATTCCATGATTCATCATTCGACCGGGCAGCTCCGCGGAAATTTCGCCGTGTCCTCTCGACCGTGTTGGCGCAGTGCTTCGTTTCTGCTAAAGTAAGGGCTCTTCGAAAAAGCCGGATTGCATTTGCACGATTCGAACGGCGACCCGGACTTTCACTCAATCGCCTGTACCCCGTCGGCACGGTGAGCCCTCGCCGCTGTAAACGCGAAGAGGAGAACGTCAGGGACGCGGAGCGGCGCGACGCGAGAAGGGAGGAGAGACTTCGAGCAGAAGGAGAAACGCGAGAAGAGGAAGCACACACGTACACACGTACATACATACGTGTATATACGAAGAAACGAACGAAACGAAGCGAGTGGGCGCTCGCGAGTCCGGGGAGAGGTTTAGTGACCTCGGCGTGTCGTCGTCGTCCTAAAGAGAAGCAGAAGGAGTAGGACGACGACGACGACGACGACGACGACAGCGACAGCGACAGCGACAGCGAGCACGAGCACGAGCACGAGCACGGGCGCAAGCAGGACGACGCCGAGGCGCAACGAGACGACGAGGAGTGGCCGAGAAGAAGAAGAGCAAATTGGTGCTCCCGGTAGCAGGGGCCCATGAACATCGTGGAGGAAACATTGCGCAACGTGTCGAGGCGCAGCAGACACGACACGCGCGGCAGCGGCAGCTCGACCGGCGCCGATTGGTCCGCGTCAGCCGTACGGGGCCCGGCCCAGCCGACCCCCGTTGCTGCGCCGGCCGCCACGTCCACCGCCTTCGCCAGGCCCCAAGATATCACGGGCCCGACCAGACGCCAGTCCTCGCGCGATAGCGTCGACTCCGCCGGCCAGCACACCCCACCTGATCACGCGGACCTTCTCTTCAAGGTCCTATCTTGCTCCCTGATACCCGTTTTCTTATTATACGCTCGCTCATCTTATGACGACGCGTTGGCATTTGTTGTTTCTCTTATTTCTTTCTCGCGACCGATTTTTCGGACGTAATTGTTTCTTATTTCCCGCGAAATGCAATCTTATTTATTTATTTTTATTTTTGTTTTATTTATTATGTTAATTCAATTAACTCAATTAAATTTTCTTCTCTCTCTCTCTCTCTCTTTCTCTCTCTCTCTTTCTGGAAACTGTGACTATTGTTTAATGGATGATTAACTATTGGTGAATTCGGTCACTCGCACTACTGAATCAATACACATTAAAGGCTATTTTATATAAATTATCTAAATGCATTGATGTAATATAATCAACTTTGACAATGAAATTATACATGTTTATTTCGTTAAATAATGTGCATCAGTACTATTATCGGGTGTTTAATTGTTTAACATATTTATGTGCTTTTATATTTAACTTTGTTAACTTTATGTATAGTAGCTTTTAGTGTGTAAGTATGTGCACTAATTTGTAATGCAAGCAACTGAATTCACTATGTAGACGTATATTATCTGTTTTTATATCTTCTATAAAATATTAGTTTGATCGGAATGAAAATTTGAGATCAGTGTTACGCGGACGGATGAGCGAGTAAAAATGGAATAAGAATGAAACGATTACCTGAATAATCGTTGCTCAATGCAGGTGATGTTACTCGGTGACAGCGGCGTTGGAAAAACCTGTCTTCTGACACGTTTCCGTGACGGTCGCTTCCTGTCAGGAAACTATATAACGACCGTCGGCATTGATTTTAGGGTGAGACTTTAGAGATATTCCATTTTACATTTACCTTGTACACGATTAACAAAGAATGCTGATGAACTTTTGATTAATGATTCTTTGTACAACGAAATGTATGTTGCTCACATTGGACGACGATATCTTCGTGATTTATTAAAGCTTAGTCCTCGTAGGACTACAGAAATTCAAAGAAGTATCTTTCCTGCCTTTGCAGAACAAAGTTGTCACCGTCGACGACACGCCGATCAAGCTGCAGATATGGGACACAGCCGGCCAGGAAAGGTTCCGAAGCGTGACGCATGCTTATTACCGAGACGCACATGGTAAACTCTTTTCTTTTACGTAACAATTCTGTTTTCAATAAAGATTGGAACGATATTCGCAGTACAAGTTAATAGATCGAAATTGAAATTAGTAACATTTAAAAGAATTAATTAAAATAATAAGTAAATAAATTAAATACAAATATTTTCAATTTTAAAAAATGATTGCTAATTAAATGATTGTGCAAGCATCACGAATTATGCTAAAAATATTTGATTGTTTGTAGATATGTATGTTAATATGTATGTAGATATACATATATTGTTTATAAATACATCTATATATATATATTGTTCATTTGTTACAATAAATAACTTAAAAATTGACATTTTTTAATTCGTTACAAAAAAAGTATGAAAATATAGAAAAAAAAGGAAAAAAGATATTTTAAAAGAATATATAATACTTTTATTCCTCTACATTTAGTTATTGCACCAAAATTATATATTAAAATTAATATTCCAAGATTTTAATGATTTCAAACATTCATTTTCAGGAAACCTTTGTTTTCTGAATTGTGTCATTATTATAAATGAGCGTGTATGCACATACATATATATACATATATCTTCAGATTAGTTTACCAGATTGAAATAAAATTGACGCGATGATATTCTTAATTAGAAACATGTTTATCACAGCTTTGCGTCATTGATAAATACGATATCGTTGACAAAGATTTTCGACGTGTTTTGCAATGTCTCGTAACAATTTAATTATCGCGTTGTAAATGCCACCGATCTCGAAGCTGTGCATATGTTTTACTAGCTCCTCGTTTTACACAGCGGAAATTAATGAGAAACATCTCTCTTGGCGAGAGATATGACGCTTTGGAGCGTCGGATGTTTAATGCGCGCTTGGTTTAATAGGGGAGCTTTTCTCTTACAATTACGAAATATGAAATTTTATCCGATTATTATTATTGATTGCCCATTATGCAAGGAGTTTTAGATTCTAAACTTTTCTTAATTTGCAAATCCATTGATTTAAAATCGATTTTTCCATAATAAGAAAATGATTTGATCTATATGATCTTTTTTTTCTAATTTTAAATAAACTTTCAACAATTTGAATTATTGTTATTTAATTTTATGTGTAATTAATTAATGTTTATTAATTTCCGGAATTAATTTTGGAATTAATTTTCGGGTGTTTAAAAACGTTAAGATTGTATACGAAAAGTGTAAAAATTAATGGATATAATTTCGTGCTTTAGAATTCGAGTTTTTTAAATATATTCTTTTCTGTTTTTCAAAAATTTATCTATACAAAATTGGTTTTGGGATTGGGAATTTGAGACATCTTGTGCATATAACAATGAACTTTCCAATGTATGGCGTAGAACAAAAGCGTTACATTGGTGCGTCTCCGGGGAAATCTTAATTGCTCGTCCCGACTTTGTTGTTCACACTCGAACCGAGACGACGATCCGATCCGTTTTCGGGCTTAGGATAATCAATTTGGGACGTTACCACTATCACTCACGACGAACTCAACTTTACAATGCATGAACTATTCGTAACTTGCTAACCCGAATCCTAGCCTGTTCTCGATTTTGTTACTCCGCCAGTTTTGGCCAGGTGCCAGATTACTTATATAGGTAACGGAGAAAGGGAAAATTTCATTGTTTATCCGTCTGAGTTCTGAAGTGCGATAATAACGCTGCGTCGCATCTCAACTTCGAAAGCAATCATTCCAGTTGAGTGAATTCGACAATAATTAGACACTCATTTAGAAGATTAAACCATTGAAATCACGCGGAATCGAAACGTCCAAAGTTCGAAAATCAGTCGATTTTGTAATTCGTAAAACGTTTTAAACTATACTAACTATAGTAGTTTAATATAAAATAGTTAAATATAAAATAATTCAAAAAAATAATCAATATATCCAAAGATTTAAACATAATGTTGACACAGTACGATTTTTTTCTCTCATGAAAAAATCAAAGAGATTCTGAAAGTAGATGTAAAAAAAAATACCCATGTCTCGGCTTTTTACTAGATCAAGTCGTTAACGTTTTTTATGTAGCTATTTATCATATTTGCTCCATATTGGCTTTTTACAATTGTTAAATTATATAATAATTTTTTTAAATAAATAATTGACGTTTTTGCATATGAAATTATGCAATGAAAAAATTTGAAAATATGAAAAAAAAATAATTCTCAGTTGTTTTTTTTTGTATTCGGACTCGTTGCATAATTTCACATGTAACATCAATTATTTATTTTTAAAAATTATTATATAATTTAAAACAATTGTAAAAAGCCAATATGAAGCAAATACGATAAATAATTGCATAAAAAATGTTAGTTAACGACTTAATCTGATAAAACGCCGAAATACGGATATTTTTTTTTACATCTACTTTCAGAATCTCTTTGATTTTTTTCATAAAAGAGAACGTGTGTTGTACTGTGTAATAAGATTTGTTTCAGGATAATGTTCAAAAATGAGAGAAAATCGTGCATCTAATACAGATTATAATTTTTTGTACTTTTGCATTGTGAATTCGATTACCGTTTAATATATTTTCACATGTATAAGATGTAAATGAATGCATTTACATACTTTTTACTCGTAAAAAGTTTCTGACCGTTGCATGACGTGAAGTCGATTAGGTAGTCGATAAAAAAAAAAGGCAATTCACAAGACTGCGCTGTTCCAGCGCTTTTGCTGCTGTACGACGTGACGAATAAGACGAGTTATGACAACATCAGGGCTTGGCTAAGCGAAATCCGGGAACACGCGAACGAGGATGTCGTCATCATGCTGCTGGGTAAGTTGCGTTTATATTTATGGTTCCCGTGATGATACGATAGATCTGCCCACTTGGAATGGTCGATCGCCGAGAGGCTAAACGCCAGAAATAAGGACCGCAGTAATGGTTTAGCGCGCGGAGATAAGAACTCAGGAGAGCGATAAATGATCCAGATTTAATTTTATCGGTCAACTTGTTCCAAGCTGATATATACATCCAGTTATCGAATTTAATTTAAATAAAAAAATTACAACCCTATATATATATATATATATAAACAATTCAGGTTTCTGGAAGGATCGAATTCAATTAAGTAGCGTTTCCGCTTAATGCAATTTGGACTGCTTCGGAAAGCAATTAAGATCTTTATGAGCTCACGTTCGGCCAGAAAATGCATTCGTTAAAGTACAAAAAGAATATGAATATTATCGACCATTCGCAGCTTTACGTATAATTTTCAGTTTTCAATTCCAAATCCAATTTTCCGAATATATCTCATGTAGATTTCTGGCTCACGTGAATTGACCTTAATTGCTCATGGGCAGTCGAGATCGCAACGCGACTGAGAACGCTGTTAGCTTTATCGTGGAAAAATTGGATATTTTGTGGTAATTTATCTTTTCGCTGTATTAAATCGCAGGTAACAAGTCCGATTGTGGGACGGAGCGTGCCGTTAAGCGGGAAGACGGCGAGCGATTAGCGCAGGAGTACAAAGTGCCGTTCATGGAAACGTCTGCCAAGACTGGCCTCAATGTCGAATTGGCGTTTCTCGCCGTTGCTCGGTACGGTCTCGACAAAATCGACGAATCTACATATAGCGTGAACGAACAATGCTTGAATAAACAATGCTTGAACAAACAATGCTTGAAACTGCACTGATTTTTAATCAATTTCACGTCAACGTTTTTTTTTTAAACTTCAATTTTTCCATGTATCTTTGAAATTTGAAGTTTTTAGATAACAAACAAATAAAAAATGGACGAGTTAAAATAAAAGTTATTTGAGATTAGAAAATGTTTTATGTATTTATAAAAGGAGGATTAGAGCTGGATAAAATCGATGGAACTAAACGATATATCGCTTGTTTTCAGGGAGCTGAAGGCTAGAAAAAGCGACAACCCTGATGAGACGAAATTCAACGTTCAGGACTACGTGCGTCAGCAGTCGCAACGAAGCTCCTGCTTCAACTCCAGCTGCCTGACAACTTGAACTGCTTTTCTTTTTTACGTTAATTAAGAGAACACGCGAACTGGAACCGCGTTGGTCGCGAGGAGATACGGCGCGAAATTGCCATTGCCAGGCATTCATTTGATTTCCGCGTAAAAGAGAACATCGGTGTAACATTCGAGATATAAATTTTATACTCGATTCATAGAGTAACTTTGCGAATAAACCACAACGTAGGCGAAGCGTTTCAAGTTCATCGGATGAATCGAAACCATAGTGTGCATCCAGTGGTCAAGATTTTCGGGAAACACGAGGCATTATTTCGTTCAACAAAAAGTCATGAATGTTTAACGTAAACCGCATATGTGATACCAAAGGCTCGAGTACGAAATCGTTTACGCTCTTAAAAGAATCAAGGTCAGAGAGTTGAATTTTTTTTTTTTAGCATAGCGTCAGAGAGAACACGGAGTTCTCGTTAAACGTAAGCAAACATGTGTCAATGATTACTCGCACACGTTGTATATTAATGTGAATAGTTCTAAGAGGATAGAAAGAGTTTCACACGCAGGATACTCCCGTAGATAAGGCTTTAGCTTGATGGTTCTAATTTCATGTACGCTACATCCGTGATATATATATCTCATTAAGCGCTCAAAGCGATCATTAAACGATTGTTGAGCATAAGTTGTAATGTCGATTGTCGTACACCGATTCCGTAATCGTTCGTTACGTTGTGCTCCATTAGCGTTCGCTGTTCGCAACAAAGGAGCGCGAATAATCTTCGATTTGCATACAATGTGCTTATTACGAGTTATAGTCCAGCGCGGTTGTTTCTTTCGCGGTGCCTGCGTGAGTGAACAAAATGTCAATGCAAGTTTAGTCAACGTACCAAGTAGTTGCGAAGTAGCGCGTGTCGAAAGAGATAGAGAAGAGAGAGAGAGAGAGAGAGAGAGAGAGAGAGAGAGAGAGAGAGAAAAGTGACATCTCGTAGGAAGAACGTTGAGAAAACGATTCGCAGCCATCGTCGAACGGAGTGGCGCACGAATACGCTCAAGTTTTCCTATGATTATGTCCTCCTCTTTTCTTTCGTTTTTTTTTTCTTTGTAGCCGATGAGAATACGTTACAGACTTCTATACGAATACCACTCTGATAGTTGCTAGTTCTGAAAGACGAAAGTAAGATAAACAAGAAGAGGGAAGCGGTCATTTTTAACGAGTCCAATCGTCAGCATTGAACCATGAAATCTTTTTTTAGAATAGTCGGTGTTTATGCCAATATTATTATTTCACCAGATATCGTTTGCCCTTGAATCGACTTGTGACAAACCGCGAGACTGTTGGCGATTTAGATAGTCTATAGAAATATGTGAAGTACATTTTGTGATCGCTATCAAGCTTATGAGCATGTTTTATAATCGACAAACTGATATTTATGTAATATTAGAGAGAAATATTAATGCTAATTGGTCGAAAAGAAAATAGTTATCCGCGACAACAAAGGAATCAGGAAATTTATCGATTGTTATGATGTCAGAGTTCTAAGCAAAGTTGAGGACCGCTGTCTATTGAAGAGTCAATAAGCTTAATACTGTTTAATAAAGCTCTACCGATGTTATTGCGAAGAACCGTTTAATGACTCTTGATTTTTCTAAGCCTCTATTTTGCGATAGAATTAACGGAAAGTACCAAAGACGTGCGGATGATAATTTTATAGTAAACGGAAATCCGGGAATTTAGAGTCGGTTTAGATTGAAAGATTATATCACGTATGTTATACATCCTGATGTATATGACGTGCAATCTGTTTTACCTGCAGTGTACAAATGACAATTTCGTGTATCAAATATATATCAGAAGGAATATATGAAATAAAAATCGACCAAACATATAATATATACCTTTTTAATATTCCCATCTGTCTCCCGGTCATCACAATCTTCATGAAGAATCTTCATGAATTAATTTTTTTTCGATATACTTGAATAAAAACAGAATCGTCGAATTTGTTTATCTACTATGCGGAAAACAGAAATATTTTGTGTTTGATTAAAAAATACAAAGACATTTCCTCAAGCGATTATTTTTAATAAAAACAAAATACGAATGATATCTTTCTGCAATTTCTTGGAAGATAGATAACGGATTGCAAAAAACTTCCATGAATTATTAGTAAAGTAAATTTATTACAGTTTTAGCAGTTTTTGTATTTTTTTATCTCAGTTCAAATCACATTAAGTAATTATACTCCAAGTATTCATGTCTAGGGGAAAGTAAAGAAATGATATGCAAGAGGTAAAAATAAAGCAATCTGAACTGGAAGATCTATACGAGATTCGTGAATTTAATTATATATTACATTTATAATATTAGGTGTTGGAATTAATTCGTAGCGTTTTACAAAGTATTTATAAGTTTTAAAAGTACTTTCATTAATGTATTTTTTAATGCTCATGTGAAATAAATAACATTCTTTCATTAAAAACGCTACGAATTAATTCCAACACCTAATATATTTAGAACCGATTGCATCAATGTTATTTTGACTATTGACTATATATTGGCTAAGCGAAGCTTAAAAATCTCTTTCTTTTTTAAAACCGATAGAGAGAAAAGGAGAGAATTTTAAGCCTCGCTTAAAATTAAAGTAACATCGATGCAATTGAGCCTTAATTATATAAATATATAAATAAAAAATAAGCTTTAATTTCCGCTATCCTGCTCCATCTATTCCATTAAACACGCATGTGTACAATTCTTAGATGACCTCGATTAAATTTGGATTATCTTAATAGGCGATTAAGTTATAATTGGAGTTTGGTCGAAGTTGTTTTTATTTTCTCTTAGTATTTTTAGAGTGCATCTCGTTTCCTTTTTTTTTCTCAATGTGATTGTGTGGTCATTTAGTGTGTGTGTATATGAGTGTAAATGCATATGAATATCTGCGTGTGTTACGATCAAAGCAGATCGGATCGGAAAGAAAGAGAAAGAAAGTATATATATGTTGGGAACATAGATTTATAAAATAGATGCAAGATTCTCTTATGATAGAATGAAGCCGACAGAACGATGAGAGATACAAAACATCGGTGAACTTCTATTCTTCTCTTACACGCGTATATTGACAGTAATGGAGAATAATAGAGATTCTTCACTGTTATTTTGCTCTCACTTACTCTTACTGTTTTGTCAGATTCACTTCCACCATCGTGCTATGCTAGATCTATTTTGCGAATCTATAGGTCTGTTCTTTTTAGCTGAGCTTGCACGGTTCATCTTTTCTCTTTTTCTCTCCAACATGAAGGAAAGGAAGAAAAAAGAACCGTGCAAGAACCTTAGCTAAAAAGAACAGACCTTATGGATGAGAAATCAAGGAAAAATCCCTCCGATCGGAACAGCATACGCATGCGTAATATATATCATTGATCATGTGACCAATCTCGACTGGTCTCGACAGACTCGTGTTCCAATGGCTGCGTTCAGCAGAGAAAGCAGCTTTGAAACTGTGTAAAATTCTTCAATATGATTGGCTTATACGTTTAGATCTAAGGAACCAAAAGCAAGTAACCAATCGTATTGAAAACTTTTACAACAGTTGCAAAGCTGCTTTCTCTGCTGAACGCAGCCATTGTTGCTCATAGTGCTTCTTATAATTAATGAAAAATTCGTTGTGCGACAAAAAAGTAATATCCAATATTTTATTTATCATATCACAAAATTTTCGAGTGTATTGACTGGGTACAAGATAGAGGATTTCTAGAAATTCAACAACTTTTTCATCCTCAACTACATACGATGAACATATTTTTCGTTATACAATAAATGATAAATATTAGCCTAAGGCCCCTGGATCTGATCGAACATCTCTGAGGTTCATCTCTCGCAAGATTCGCCAAGCGTCCGATCACGCCATCTTGGCGCATCACCGGCAAGTTAGACGCACGGAAACGGTTGCCTCTGCCCTCTCCAGTTAGTCCAGTTCCGATCCGGCGTCCGAAGCCATTTCTAATTCTAATATTCCGTTAGCGCATACGGCATACGCCGCAAACACAACGTGTCCATAACCTGGGAATCTTTGAAAGACGGGTACGTGGCGTCGGCGTCGGCGACGGCGTCCTAATTGTGGTGTCGTCCCGCGCCGTGTTAGCGTAGTCTACGATGGACGAGAACGTGGTGGAGATTGAAAACGAGGAGGCGATCGAGAATGTGAAGAATGTCTGCAGACTGTGCCTTTCCACGGATGGATCTAGAGCTTCGGTGTTTGGAACGCAGGAGGAAGAGGAGTCGTTCAGCGTGTCGCTGGTCGTGAAGATTCAGGCCTGCCTGTCGATCCAAGTGCGTATCTGTGCGACTCGCATTCTTTTTCAATAGGAATCAATGGGACTTGACTCCTCGAGCGGAAGTTTCGATCATTCTGCAACCGAGTGCGACAAAGCCTCGCCGAAGTATACCACTTCGCGAGGCTTTGTCGCGTTTTGAGGTTATGTCTACATAAGTGTCGATTCAGAGTCGAGAATCACGCAATCGGGTTGCATGACTCCTCCCAATCGCATATCACTCATGTCTCATCTCTTTTAATCTCCTACCTTCTTTTGCGATGAAGCGTAATGATAGCGTCTATCTCATTGTGAATAAATGAATAAAACATTTTAAGTACTCTCTTGTATACGTCGCTTATTTAAGTGTTTAAAATTTGAAAGGAGTGACATGTTAGAGGACATATAAGAGGGTTGTTAAACAATATCAGTTGATAGAAACGATTTCAGAATGAGCACTGTATTATAAGAATGTTTAGTACTGATTTTTAAAATATTAGGAATTTAACAAAAATGTTACAGATTGTTTTTCATATGTTCGGAGACTTATGACAAAATTCGGAATACATTCACTGAAGCAATCCAAAGTTATAAGGATTTTAATTTGCCATGAATTTATTTTAATACCTGTTTTCAAAATATTAGAAATTTAACAAAAATTGTACGGATTGTTCTATTTTTACGTCTGAGTATTTATATAAAATTTGAATGCAATTCTCTTATTAGTTTAAAAGCGATTTAATGTTTTTCTCTTAGGTAAAAATCATAATTTGATGAGGAAGTAATATTAAGAGAATTAAATTAAATTTTATATATTTATTAACCTTCAAACCGTACACTTCCTTTGAGTACCTATTAATGGTACACAGGTTCGAATTTGAGTTTGACATTTTTAATTGCAAGTCTCTTTTGAGGATTAAAACAGAATTTTTTTTAAAACCACCTCTTTTCTGAGATATAATTTTCTCATAAATCCAATGGTATCACTCAAATTTAATGAAAAAGCATATTTAACGTAGTGGGGATAAGCTGCGGCAACTGTTTATGTGCGACTGTCAGCAAATTGAAAATTTTCATGGTGCGAATTCACACTAGTGTATAGTTTGAAGGTTAATGTTAATAAATATTTATGCATAATTTATTTAGATCCACTTATTCATTTTAAAGTTATTGACCTAACACTGCAAAATAATATGGTCATTTTGCTGCATAAAACCAATGGTTGCGTTTAGCAAAGAAAATAACTTTGCAAATATTGTAAAATTCTTCAATATGATTGATTCTTACTTTTCCTTATGGATTTCCTTATGGATTTAAATATATAAATCAACTACAATGAAGAATTTTACAGTTGCGAAACTGCTTTCTCTGTTGAACGCATCCATTATAAATCAAATTGTTTTATTTTTTTGTAATTGGTTTCATGTGCTAACATCATCAAAATTTTTTAGTAATGTTGGCTAATATTAGCTATTTTTGGCTGATTATTAGACTGATGCTTTTAATTGATATTTTATAGATAGACGAAATATCTTCAAATAGTATTAGTAAATATTTTAAATATAAATTGTATAAAATCAGGAAATTATCTAATTCAAAATTTAAATTAAATATAGGTATACATTTTTATACATGAACGATCCAATAAGATTCTTATTGTTTAAATATTTTTGTTGAAGAATAGACATAGATATGCATCAGCTTTCTAATTATTAGAAAATTATTATAAAAAATATATTTCACCTAAGGCTTCAAACATTTACTTTTTTAAATTTTATATTTTGTGCATTTGAAGTGAAGTACAAGTACAAATTTCCAAATTCCAAGAACACAAAACAAGAAAATTGTAGAATAAAATAAGTTTAGCTTTATTTACAATTTTTTTACTTGTAATTTGAAATTTTTGTCGAGATTTTTATTTGATCATGAATATGCTCAATATTTTAGATTTCGACAACCGATAAGCTGTCCACGTGGATATGCACAAATTGTGTGAAAAGCGTTAATCGATGGTATACCTACAAGGAATCGTGTTTGCGTTCCCAGGACAAATTACAAGAATGGCTGGCAAATCAATTGCAGTCGAATCCTACAGTATGTTGTATTTTAAAATTTATTAGAATACAATAGTTTAAGTCATTTTTACTATATTATTAAGATGCCTCCTCATGAGACGCTGAAAATAGCGTCAGAGTGATCTCAATTTTGATGCTTAGAGCGAAAGCATAAAGCTTATTCTTTAGCTGAATTTCTTGCACGGTTCATCTTTTCTCTTTTTCTCTCTGATGTGAAGAGAAAAAGAAGAAAGATGAACTGTGTAAGAACTTTAGTTGAAAAGAACAGATCTATAGACCAGTAAATGAACAAATATGAAAGAACCAATACTGAAGAATCGTTCCCTTTTCTACCGAATCGATTTTTCAGGATCAATACAAAAAGCATAAGGGTATCGATCATGTAACTTAATAATCCTGTAATATCAGATAATATAGGATTGTCACTAAAATGGCCAATTAGTTATCTGCTATAAAAGAGAATTGATTCTCTAAAAAAGGGGAGAAAAAATCGATTCAGTAATCAGGAGTCTCAGAAATCGGTTAATAATTGTATTCCCAGAATAATCGACCTTTGAGAATCGGAAAAAAAATTATCAATTCTCATCATTAGCATAGACTTTTGCATAATACACAAAGCATAAGAAAATAAATCAAATCTTTTCATGAAATGAGAATTTTTTTCTTTTATGCATTATGTATTGTGTTTTATGCAAAAATTTGTACTCTGATTTTTAACATCTGAATTGCACTTATTTGATAAATTTTTCAAGTCTGTTGATTAGCTACAGGACAAATTAATCTAAGAATCTCTTTGTCCTGCAACTAATTAACAGACAAATATTTCATCTATACGATTTTTTTGAGCGTATTGATTGGCTATAAGTTAGAAGATTTTTAAAAACTAAAAAATTTCTTTATCCTGCAGCTAATCAACAAGTTTGAAAAATTTATCATACAAATGCAATACGAGGCTCAAATATTAAGGGTGAAAGTACAGTTTTTTTTGCATAAAGCATGACGCATAATCATAAAAGAATCAACTAGAGTTCTTCCTTACATGATATGAAGTATTTCAATTAAATTAATTTTCTTTTGGATGGATTTCAACATCCAGCGTCAGATCAGTCAGATCAAACAATTGAATGGCATATGCATAATGCTACATCATTTTTAAGCACTTTTTACTGTCCAGCATCAATTTTGATCATATAATTTGATACTGAAAATAATTCTCAAAACACACACATATACACATCCACACATACACTTATATTGAATTTGATTGGACTGGTGCATATTATAAAGCCATTGCACACAAAATAATGTGAAGATATGAAACAAACACAGAAATTAATTAAATCGTGAAATACTCAATACATTTTATTGTACTATTAGGTAAAATGTGTATTTCATAATTAAAAATATTTGTATTTCATTTTTATAATCAAATTAAATTAGTGTACAATGGCTTTAATATGCACTAGTGCGCACTAGTATCATTCGCTTCCAATCGAATTCATCATTGTCCTCACGTTTTCTTAATTTCTATAGGTTATTAGGATCAAAAATGAACCAATGGATATAGATTACGAAAATAGTGTAGAAATTATCGAGGAGACTGTCAATAATATAGAAGTTATGAAGGAGACAGCCAATAATGTAGAAGTAATCGAGAAGACTACCAATAATGTAGAAGTTGTCGAGAAGATCATCAATGATGTAGAAATTATTGAGAAGACCCCCACTAACTTGAAAAAATCAGTAAGTATAATTTTTTATTTGGAAAAATTGATTATAATAAAAAATATTTTTTTATATAAATATATCTGTTTTTCAGCATCCACCAGTTCAATCAGTGGAAAACACTGAAGCTAATAATGAAAAAGTGCAAGATGTAGTAGATAACAGCGATGTTAATGATATTGCGAATGATACTAACAAAGACCCCGAATCAATCTCGTCTGCAATGGAAAAGGAAACTGATAAGGAAAAAAATCAAGCGGATCAGCAGGATTCTATAGTTCTGTGTTCGATTAAAAGCGAGCCGCAAGATGAAGACGATACCGATGGTACCATAGAAATAGAATCAAATAGCAGTGAATTGAATGCCATGGCAGTCGATGAGACAGAGGACACTATCATGGAGGCTGATTCCACGCAAAAGTCTAATGCGGCTGGCGCATCGCCTAAGAAGAAATTCAGACGCGGTCCTCATACTCACTTCAGAGGAACGCGTGTTTTTAAGCAGAAGTGCACGCACTGCCAGATATTTTTGCATTCTAAATACTCGTACATGAAACATATGAAGAGGTTTCACAGTAAGGAAAATGGCATTGGAAATTCAGAGATGCGGAACGACGACGAGGAGATGATAGAGGATCTAGAAGATGAATTGATCAGTATGGAGAAGGACTCGCCGCTGACGCAAGTTCAACAGGACATTATTAGTCAACTGAAAACTTTTTCTTGCTACTCTTGCGAGCAGACATTTAATGATCGACGCAGCACTCTTTCTCATATACGTCAACATATGCCGGATCTAAGACCATACACATGTATTGCTTGTTTGACAGAATTTCCAGATCGATCAATGTATCAGTTGCATTGCGGAGCTTCCTTCGAATGCGCCATGAAGATTGCCCTAGTTGTACCGAAACACGGTAGCGAGCGATATTTTACATGTAACATGTGTTTGCGTTCAATGCAAGGTAGAAAGGAGTTACTCAGTCATTTGTCGAAGCATTCTGATAAGCAGTACGAGGAGATGATGTCATCGTCAACGCGAGCCCCGCCTAAACTGAAGCCGATGGCACCGTTGCCATCCTCGAAAAACAGCACTCTGCATAAGAACGGACCTTATAAGAATGGTGATCCAAAGCATAATCATGCCTGCGATCTATGCGGCATGATCTATCGATATCGGCCCAATATGCTCAAGCACAGAGAGGTATGTGCGCGATTGGACCCAGACAACAGAATATTGTACAAATGCGTGCATTGTTACATGACGTTTCTTGTGTTTAAGAAGTTCCATTATCATATTACAGCCGATCATAAGAAAAAAGATTTTACTTGTTCTGAGTGTTTTTCCAAATTCCGATCACCCAGCGATTTTGTAACTCATTACGAAACCCATCGCACGACAATGCAAGATAACCAACAAGAGCAGTATGACAGTACCTCGCAGAATACAGTTCAAACACCATTGAAGGAACGTAATGCTTACGAAACAAATGTCAAATCAAGAGTTAGTTCACGAATATCAAATCAGCAGTATCCTTGTCCTCTCTGTCCCGAGAAGTTCTCCACGAAGGTTGAACTGAACGAGCATCGGACTCTTCATCTCAAAATGAAGATATATTCGTGCGCCATTTGCCGTAGCTTATTCAGCAGCGCCGGCTCCTTGGAGATCCATATGAAGGATCATGGTATCGAAGACGCGCATGAAAGGGACGCCAATGTGTCTTGTGTAGAATTCGGCAGCTTGGATGAAGATGTGAGGATTGAGAAAGATTTGGTGAACATCAGTAGCATCTCGGATCCTGGTCAAAATCATGAATGTGGCGAATGTGGTAAGGTACTATCCAGTTATGCTAATCTTCGACGACACGCTAAAATTGCTCACCGAAACACTAAGATCTATGATTGTGTCGATTGCTCGCGAATGTTTATGCGTAAAGATTTGTACGATACTCATATGGAGATCAAGCATAATTCTAAGAACACAATGCTGCAGTGTCCGCAATGTCCCAAGAGTTTTGTCTTCCATTCGAATTTCACTTATCACTTCCGTACTGCTCACAAATCACAAACCAGTTATGCCTGCGATATCTGCGGCAAAGTCTTTGTTGAGGAAGCGTCTTTGAAAATACATAGGGGCTGGCACAATCGCGCCAATTCACGTTTGAGCACTCGATTTATACTTGGAGATCAAAATACATCTAATGACGCGCAAAAGGAATCAAGTAGTGTTGAATCTGTTGAGAATTCAGAACGGCCGGCGAGAGCACGAAAATCTTTCCATAATCCACAACTAATCCACCACTTCAATCACTAACAAAGACATCAGGGAATTACCAATGTCAAGTATGCAATGACAAATTCAATGATGTCGTAGAACTAAGAACTCATTTGTGGGACGTCCACTGCGCTCGCAACAAACCAGAGAAGAGTTTCTCTAATGATGAACTTCAATGCGAACTCTGCACGAACATTTTCCCCGATAAGGGAACCCTAGCATGTCATATGCAATGGCACAAGGCTAATCCTATTCTCAGTGACATACAAAAAACGTTCTTCTGCGAAATATGCGGCAGATCTTACAGATCGAAGAAGACTCTATGGAAGCACAAGAGACTTCACAAAGCTACCGCTGTAGCATCAATTAAATTCCAATCTTTGGCTAGAAAACCGATGGCTACACAATTCCTGTGCAACTTCTGTCGCAAAGTTTTTTCAAGCAATCAATCTTTGCAACGGCATAAACTCACTTTCCACAGTGATCCGCTGAATCAACAACGTGCGCAGCAACAGTTATGCAACAGCAGTCAATTATCGTCATTTGATGAACCAAGAACAAAGCGCATGAAACCAGACATTGAAAATGATAATTCGCAGACTAAATTGTCGCCTTTCGCCATGGACTTCGCTGGCGAGAGAAGGAAACCGGTCATGTGCCATGTTTGCAAGAAAATGTTCCCTAACATGAGCGTGCTGTACAAGCATAAGCAAATGGTTCACAAACGATCAAGAATACCCGAGTGTATACCGATGTCGACTCAGGATGGCAAATTTTCATGCAATATCTGCTTCAAGAAATTCCCCGGTCTATCAAATCTGCGACAACATTTTACAATTAAACACAAGAAAACGTCCGAATCCAGCAACGCATCAATAGCAGCGAGTAATGAGAGATTGTCGCTTTCGACACCCGAACGTCCAAAGGAGGGAACTTATGAAGTGGCCTACAATAACGTGATGTACAGCTGTAAATTGTGCAAGCAGTGTCATGTTTTCAATAAGGATTCTATCATACGCCATATCACCAATGTGCACAACGCAGTGTATCAGGCCGATAGCAAGACGTTCCATAGGGAAGTCACTCTGAGCACTTACGTAGTAAAGGACGCGATCGGAGCTACTTGTCCGCGATGCGATGTTAAATATCCTAATAACAGGGCTCTGAAGATACACTATATTAAGTTCCACGAAAATAATGATTAAAATTGTTAAAATCTGGCCATTGTGCTAGGAAGGAAGATTTTTTAATTGTAATCACAAAAATCGAAAGATAATTCCTAAATCATGATTGTCTCTACATGTTGAGTGGTATATTCCTGAGATAGCATCGATTCTGACTTGGATCGAAAAATTTTGGTTCGGATATAATCTGTCTGAAGTTGACCTTTTAACTCATTCCAGTTCTTTTAACTCGTAACGATTACTGGATCCATTTGGATTTTGATTCTTTTTGATTTCAGTAATTATATACCGAATATTTATATAATATATAATATTATGTAATTTATTATATTATAATGTATTATATAATATTATATAATATAATATTAAATTATACTTGTAATGGTCATCGTTGTCATTAAAAGAACTGGAACCGATATCAAAATTGAAAGCTTGCCTCTGACTACAATCGTAACCAAGTTGAAATTTTAATCCATGATGATTTCGGTCCGAGCTCTTGAGTCTGACGCATAATATTCTGATTTTCTTAATCCAATGATATTGTTTTACGATTCCAATCTTTACGATACATTCTGAATAGTTATGATTAACACGTAAAGTCATGCAAGTACTGTTGAGTTATAATTTCGTAAGATTAAATAAAATAAGAAAACAAATTACATTATCTTATCTTCAGATACAGGAAGTGTATCATTTTAATGTACATTTCAAATATCTTAGTTGTTTATTTTAGAAAAAAGAAATTTTTTTTTCTAATATGAAAGAGAGAGAGAGGGAGAGAGAGAGAGAGAGAGAGAGAGAGAGAAACGATTAAAATATTTGCGGTGTGCAATTAAAATGAGTTGTCCTATATATATATTGTCATGTTGATAAAGCTTTTATTTCACGGTTATTTCCACAGGTAACGATTTATCACGAATAATTACCTGTTTAATATAGCGATTGTATAACTGCGACCAATGAGCTGTGTAAATATCAAAGCGATAGAATAAACTATATGTACGATGAGTTTATGAAATGTGGCAGCCTCTTGATGTAGTTACGATAAGTTGTCATGATTGCTGCAGTCAGGCATCTACATGACCAATTTTTCAATAAGATTAAACTTTTAATATGTTTGTTTATGTGCATCATGTTAGTACTTTCCGATTTTAATGTGTGTATATGTTTTTGAATTTTTTCAAAAAAAAAAATGAAATAATTATACGAGTATTAATTGTATTCTGGTAGATTTTTCTGGTAGCACCTTTGCCTGATTGTTGCGATAATGATAATTACCTCGGGAATGCTGCAACAATTATAAATTTCTTTATCTACTATACTATAGATATATACATTGGGTAATAATTATAACTATTATTATATATGGTGTGCAAATAAAAATCGTGAATATCTTACTTATGTAACAGTATTTATTAAGAACGTCCTTTTTACAGTTTTGATTGTTTTCGCTTATCTTGCCAGTTTATGCATATACCATTCCTCTTGTTTTTTTCATCTTCCTCGCTGGTTGCATTAGCAATGTGTTAGATTAATTTTATCACTAATCCTGCGTATTTGTATTTCTAATGTATGAATTATTAGCAATAAAAGAAAAGAAAAGAATTATTGATTCTTATTATTGAATTTTTAAGATCATTAGATAGATAAATTTTCAATTATATTTCCTTCTTTAATTATGAGATTATGATAAATTAATTCTATTTTAAATTAAAACTCAGTATTAATAAAAAAAATGTTGCAGTTGAAAAAGTGGCTTCGATAAAATAGAATTTTATGAAATTTTTTTAAAAGTAGAAGTGAATCATGTGTTACAATGTTGTAATTAAATCATCTTATATAAATATATAAAAAACGAGTCAAGCCTTAATTTCTTGAAGAAAAGTTTTTCTGTGTGAACTTTGACCTTCTGTTTTTCGTTGATTCGCAATTTTTACATATATAATAAAAGAGATTGTAAACTTTAAAGAAAAAAAAAATCATATATGATTTATTTTGCTTTAATTAAAATTGAAATTAAGTTCTTGTTTTGTGTATTTTGAGATGACAATTTCAATAATCGAATCGAATCTTTTAATTGACAAGCATTAAGTTATTTAGCGTCCCGCGAAACCATGTATAAATATCTATAATACTAACAATTTTTCAAACTTGTAACTTGTCTCGGGACCGATTATTTATGAGCGAATGATAATAAAGGTAACATTGTATAACATCAACGATATATTTGGCGATGATACAAGCTTATGGAAATAGGAGGGGATTAAGGCAGACAGGCAAAGAATTCATCACACGAATATTTGGTACTTCCTTTTTTTTTATGAATGCACAAAACATTTTAATATAAACTTAAAAATCCGTACAACAATATGAAAAATTATAGACTATTATACACATGTATATAGATATATATATATTTATATGTCGTACTTTTTATTTTTTCCATTTTCCGGGTTTATCAATATATATATATATATTTATTTATTTGTTTATATTTCTTTGCTATATATCTTTTTTTTATTATAACGGGATGGAAAACTTCCGTCTCTCACTAAGTATATGTATATTATATATATTATTATTAGAGTATTATTACTATCATTATTATTTTTATTATTATTATATGTATTAATGTAGAAATATAAAGTGAACCATTGCACGATTCCGCGTGTCGTGTCTTACAATCAGAGTGTTTCAACTCGCTAAATTCAGAGACAATAATTGTATATCGATAATCGTACTTGCAGTAACGCCGACAATTAATCATTAACAACGACAGTAATTAGCGATGAGGGGGAGGAGGGCGGGATTACGCGCACAGCTTATCTTGTAACAATACGTCGGGAAGGTTTTTCTTTTTTTTTTTCTTTTTTCTTTTTTACTTCTTTTTCATGATGATAGGATGACGAGAAAAGGTGCGCGAGTGTCGCGCTCACGCTCGTCGGATTGCGTTCGTATTGCGGGTGCTTTTGCGTCTGTTTGTATGCGTTTTGTGTCGCAATACGCTGTGTGATCATCGCCGGAGTGCATCGAGAGAGCCACGTGTGTTCGTGCGTGTATACGTGGTGTACATGTGCGTGTGCGGACGAGTGTGTGCGCGATGTCAGATGTCAGGTGAACGTTGTTAACGCATTATGCGGTATATCTGCACGGCGGTGGATATGATGGGCTCGGGGATTTTAATACAGACGCCTCGCGCTTTCTTTCCCGCCGGGCATCATGTACCGCACAATGCGTATATATACATATATATATATATATATATATATCGCAGCGACGTGGATTAAACAGTAGATAACATATATATCGATAGAGACGTAGATTAGGCCAAAATCTTTTCTGTCCCTCCGTCGCGTCTTCCTGTCTCGATTGCTCGTGCGCGCCGTACGGCGCGATTGTTCGCCTTTTTTTTGCAACTTGATATGCGAATCTCTCGCGGTTGCGGTTCGTATTGTTGCTCCGTCTCGTCCTAACCGTAGGTGTATCCTTTCGAAATAAATGGAACGGTGTAGCTAGTGCTTGCCTTTAGTTTAGAAATCACGAGAGAATTTTCCTTTCCAAGTGAGAAGTAATCATTTCAAATAATGTACAGAGTTCATAAACTGCGTCGCAAAATTCAGCAGTGTAACATTCAGCCTGATACTCAGACTATAAAACTTAGGAATATATCTCGTAATTTCACAAGACTTTTGATTTTTACAATTTTTTTCAACTTTTGATCTATGATTACGATATATAATTTCTCGTTGATTCCGTTTCTTTCTTTTTTTTTTTCGATTTAGTTAAACTCTTTTTCGAGTTCAAAATTCGTTCAGGTACAAGTAATGTCTAAATTGACTTGGATCTGATTAAGAGATCTACTTTTTTAGATCGCTTCGTAATGGTGTAGATTACGATTTTCGTAAGAGCACGATTGGAAGAGCAAAATGTCGAAGGGATACACCTCGCACACACACATATTCGATCGCGATTTCGAAAATTTCACTTTCTTCCACGAGTTAGAATACGCTACATACAAAGAGCTTTACGAGTAAAGAGGAGAGGTATGTCGTTGTGCTGTTATCAGGCTCGGATGAAAATACAGAGAAGTGAGTCGCGTGTATCTCTCACAATCAGAAGGAGGATAATCAGGCTGGAGTAGCGCTGGAACGAGTGAAACGTTCCCGGTTGAATTTCCCCGTGTCGGGAAGACGTCGACATGCTGCGAGTACAATTTTCAGAAAATAGCGGTACGACGAGTGCAGAACAAACGAAAGCAATTTTCACAGAAAGAAACCGCTTGCGATTTAATGAATAAAAAGCAATACATGCGTTTTCGTGTCTCGTTACAATTGAACCGCGACACTTTGAGGAGTTAACAGTTCTTCCCTTTAACGAAACAAGTATTGTACAAAGTAAACGGAACCTTTTTTTTTTCAGGACGAAAAGTTTCGTCGGTTTATCATCCATGTGGATTCGGCGCACGTTTCTATCTTGGGAAATCACGAAAAGTAGCCCCGTTTCTTAACAACTACGTTACCCTCGTTCGCTCTAGCGTTGCGAGAATGCTATCGGGAAAGGGCCTCCATCGCAATTTAATTATTCAGCATACGGGAGTTAAGTTAGAGGCGGTTTATCGATCGAATTTTTAACTAGTCCGCCGCACCGTATATGCATATGAAACCGGCTTTCTAATCGCGCAATCGTGTTCTATCGTCGTTCCCTTTACACTTTGATGGTTTCCGGCCTACTTCCGGTTGCCCCCCCCCCCCCTGGTTAGCATTATATATTCGTAGCCGCTCGTACGCGCTCATCCGCCGTAAGCAACTATAAAATTGAACTATCGCAATCGATAGTTCCTCGTGAAAAATATCCGTGTAGATACAAAACCGTCTCGTCTGTCCAAACTGGGAACGTTTGTACTCGTGGACGCTCTCCCGACATTCCTCCTTCGTCGGTCGTTTAGCGAAGCTGAACAAGTATTCGCTCGTACGAGAAAAGTACATCTAGGAATGCATGACATACAGTATACGTTATATATACACCAGAGATATACATTAAACGGTTTCGTCGACGATTCTTGGGATTCTCCATTATTCGTTTCTCTGTGCTCTTTCGCCTTTGCGAATTTCCTCGTGGTTTTTTTTTTTATTTCTCTGAAACGGCATCGCAAAAAATGAAAAAATCCAAGAGAGAACGCGGTTTGCATACAAAGTGCCGTTACGTCACCACCGACCGATCGTGTCGAGGCTAATCCACGATGTGATGTACCGCGAGAGAGAAATCCGGTGTAACGAATCGCGA